AAACTAGATGTGGAGAGTGGCAAAGAGGAGACAAAGTGGAATGTTCTACTGGCTTTTATATGCAGCAAAGCCCCAGCCTGTCTGTGCTGTTTGAATTTGTCAGATGCCTTTGTCACAAAGACCATTTTCTGTAGGGACAGCATCTGGGTGATGCTGATACAAGCAGGAGTTTAGGATTTGTGAAGGGTTATCTGATTTGAATCAAATAAAGAACCACTCTGAAACCCTGCCCAAAACATAAATGAAGCCTGCAGCATGTTAACAAGATGAGAAAGTCTGTCCAATTCATTTAATCTCTTTCAGGCTCCTCTTTGCTTCCAGGTGTTCATCTGGCTCACAAGCCAAAACATCCTGGGAGAGGATCTTGCAGCCACGTTTGCAGCCCATCAGATAAAGTTCATGCCTTGGAGCAGGCGTGCTGCTGCAAGGCTCCTGCTCTGGCTGGGCCAAGGACATCAGGCTGGGGCTTCGAGGCCAGATCCCAAAAGTAAATGTAAAAATACAGGTTGTGTCAACCAAATGCCTCACCATTTGGCATGCATTTCACCTCACAGGTCTTCCTCAAGACATGTGCTTTGTTTAGCCAATAGGCAATGCATTTTCCTCTCCAAAGTCATACCAAAAGCCTGCAGAAGCGTTCAACCCAAGGAGCGACATCTGCCAGGGAACCCAGGGAACAGCCAAGGGGGAACAGGGTGAGGAGGATGGATGAAGATGTATTTTCAGTAGCCTGGAGACACCAGAGCACCTGATGCTGCTGCACATCCCAAGGGTTACACTGTCCTGGAAGCAACTGTGTCAACCCCAGGGACTCCTCATTGCCACAGGAGCCTGGTTTTCTCCTTCCATTGAAAATTCTTTAGATTGACTTTCTGGTCTTTCTCTAATCCTTCTGGCACTGTGAGTACTTGCAATTTTTTTTTTCCCAAAGAGCTGAATCTAGTCATTTTTTTTCCTTCAAGGCTTCAAGGGAAACGGAAAGGTACTTAACTTATGTTTTATTCATTGCAGTCACTATCTCTTGTTAATTTACTTACATTATTTACAGAATTTTAAAGTATTTTGTATGTTAGGCAGCATCCCAGGTCCTATAAAATGCTAATTTTCCAACTGTATCGGAGGTAAACATCTTTTCTGGGCCCCTAGGTAGACAAAGGGTCATCCCCATTCTTAATTTATTTTTCATGATTCTATATATAAATGCAATAAAGCCTGCTGGAATGGCAGATCTCAAACAACCCACTTCTCTATGTGGTTAAATTTTATGAAGGTCCACTGTGATTGTGTTACTGGTACAATAAAATTCATTCTTGATCTAGTGCCCTTAATGACTAAGGATGACCGAACCTTGCTTAAATACAGGAATAACTATCTTGGATCTTTGCCCTACATGGGAATGGAACAGAAGGTTCAGAAAGTTCACTTAACTTTCTGGAAAAAAAAACTGCTCTATTTTCACAGTTGTTTCTTTGCACTTCCTGATTTCGGTGAGAGAGGAAGTGGGGGAGAAGCCCAAACCCCAGAAGGCTCTTAATGTTTTAGGTTTTAATCTTGTGTCCGTGAGCTCCTGACAAATTGCTCCTATTCCCCTCCTTGGGTTTGAAGCTTTCAACGTGTGGAGACTGTTGACACCATAAAAATGGGCAGTACATGCAGATTTAGGAATGTGTTGGGTCTAAATCACAATGACATGCCTGAACCATGTGTTTCCCATTGGTCAGCTGTCTCTTAAGGTTTAAGACCTGCCAATGGAAAACACTTGACATTACCTCCCAGTGGTGTTTATACTGGCAGGGTGCAGCCACGTGCCCATAGTCACCATAGCACATCCCATGGGCCCTATTCTCTTCTGGTCATTGCTATTGGCTCCAGTGCTTGCCATGCTTCTCCCATATGTCCTATAGGTGCCCCACAGATTCCTCTGCCAGCCACCAGGATATGGCCCATCATAATGGGAGCAGGTCTTACCTAGAGTTTATAACACAGAGCAGTGTTTCTGCTCTGCCTGAGAGACAGTGCCTCCACCAGCACTTTTCTGTTGGTGGATCCTGTGCTTCATTTAATTCCGACTGGTGCCATCGCTGCGCTCCATCTCTGCTGCAACCTCACTCAAAAACTCCTGTATAGTAGATTTGCCCTGAAGGAATTGTTTCATGGGAAGTTTCTCTCCTTGGTGTCAAGGCAGTTGCTCCACCATTCTCTGTGGGTCCCTTGTCAAGGAGAGATCAGACTGCAATAAGTAGAATGACTTAACTTACAGTTTGGTTTGCAGGTGGCATTATTCTGGCTTCTACAACAGAGGATGTCTGGCTGTAGTGCCTTTGAACAAAAATGTTGGCATCCTTGAAGGCTTCCTTTGACTCTAAGGAATAAGGCAGGGATATCAAGTTGCAAGCACGTGGCCTTGGCAGTTATTTTTCAGTGCTTAGAGTTTCCTGAAAGTTTCAAACTTTTCCAGTAAATGCATCATGGTATGTAATATATGCTCAATTAAATGCAGAGGGTTTCATTTGGAGACGATCCTGCGCAGCATTGAGCAATATGCTCTGCAATGGGCAACCTTGTTGCTGCTTTGGGACCTTGTTCCAACAAACTCATGGATGTCCCTCACCACCAGGGCTTCTCTTCGCCCCATGTGATGCCACCACTGGCTCCATGCATTCCCTTCGGGTGGGTTTGAATGTGCCTGGTCAAAAGTTCTCCCTTTTTCCCCAACCTATAAGGTGAGCAAATACTCCTTGTGGGTTTGGCAAATGCACACCCTGTGGCATTTGCCAGCATTAAATACCAGTAGACCATTTCCATCAGTTCCAAAAAATGAACGTGCCCATTGTGTGCCTGGCCTGGGTGATATCAGTCAGTCATGAAAGGAATGCTGTGGTGCCCCAGGCAATTTCTGGCTAAAGCAGAAGGAGCGTATTGCTGATGGAGGAAGAAAAAGATTCTCTTCAGATAACAGCAGAAAAAAAAAAAGAAATAATGGAATAATGGAAATGACATGGCAGGTTAAAGGAGTTTTTCGTGCCCAAGATACATGTGGAAGGGATGCATTCTTTTTTGCAGGGTAAAGAATATCCAAGGGAATGCCTGCTAAATAGGCTGCTGTATGCAGTTACAATAGCAAGAGGAGGCTTTTTTATTGGACTGTAATTACAAATCCAGAGATAAATGATGCGGACACGTGCTCTTTCTGAGGACTAAGCTGGAATGTTTCTGGATATGAGGAACCTGCTTTATACCCATGTAAATTAATGTATTCCAAGCCGGACCCCCACCTGATCATTTCCATTGCACTCACTGAAATGTATTATATATACTTCCAGGATGTAATTTGCTTGAGTGAAATTGTCGTTTTTATTCCTAACTAGCTGGCAACCACTGGGCTAAAGACAGCTCTTCAGAAAGTGACCTTGGAGACCACGCAGCATTACCAATGTTTAAATTGCACAGAAATGTTAGGACTGCATAACAAGCTGTTGGTTGTCAGGCTGAGCAAGCAAGCTGGGATGGAGGTGATGTTAAGAACTACTGCCTCTCTGCCTGGGCTGTTCAAAATGCTTTCCTCGATTCTCTCTTCCTCTGCTATCTTTCCCCTGGTGGCTTCCTGGAGATAAGTCTCAGCTCTTGGGTAAATATTGTTCAGAATAAATAAGGGAGATAGAGGAAAAATGTTTGTTTTGTACTTCAGTGGGGTGACGAAAGACTTCAGGTAGGCGGCAGCCTGGGCCGTTGTTCCTTGGTGTTTTTGCTCCGATTTCTTCTGAAATGAAATGTTGAGAAATGTGTGGTGGCAATGAAAGGTGTTTCTTTCTCTCACTGGTGGGTTTTCTGAGACCTGAGGGCTTTTAACCTTGTTCCCCAAAATATTGGCTGGGAACTTAGGGGGGCCTGTGGGGAAAAATGGATGTAACAACTTTTTGTCTGCTCTGGAGGCATCTCCCCTACACAGACAGTGCAGCATCTGTGTCATGCAATGCAATCCTACCTGGGATTGCATTTAATTTGAAACATCAGCAATTAAATACCCAGGGAACTTCGGACACAAAACAGCATGGAAATGATGTTGCTAATTCTTCTTCTTCTTTTTTTTCCTTTAAAAATGCCTATTATTTTAAAAGTTGTTAACAAATATTCTCTTTTGGAAGGATCTTCTTGGAAGTTACTCTCATTCTTGCCTTCTTGCTCATAGAATCCTAGAATGGCTTGGGTTGGACGGGATCTCAAACGTCATCAGGTGCCAACACCCCTGCCACAGGCAGGGCTGCCAACCTTCAGATCAAGTACTAGGTCAGGTTACCCAGGGCTCCATGCAACCTGGCCTTGAACACCTCCAGGGAAGCGTTGTTTTGTTGTTATGGCTGTTGTTATTTCAGCCTGCCTTAAGCCCAGATAAGCACTGCTGTGCCCTGCAAGCTGAGGGAGCTGCTGGCAGCAGTGCTGGGCACCACACTGTGCTATACAGGTGCTTTGCTTTTCTATTTTCCACCTCCTAGCAGGGAAAAGGCTAGCGAGGAGAAATCAATAGGGGTCAGCCCCTTCTGGCTTCTGCTGAGTGCTTTGTTGCAAGTGGCAGATTTCATTCACATCTCAGTTAAATGCACCTAATCCATGGACTCTGTGTCCCAGTGCTCTGCTCCTAAACTGCCCTCCAGCACTGCTGCCGTGTACTGTGCTCTGATGCATCAGACCCACAATGTTTTCTCTTCCCCATATGTGCCCTGGCTGCGTGCAGGCTGTTTGTGGGGTTATCCAGGTGCACTGTGTTGGAGGAACAAGCTTCCAGCGCTCTCCCTCCTGTAGTTTATGGCTTTCACTCTTCTGGCAGGGAACAAAAGGATCTGACCTTCCTAGGGGCGAGCGGGGAAGTTACTAAATAACCAAGTCCTCCCCTCCCCAAAAGGCTGTAAATTGTGCTGAAATATTGGTTTCAAGATATGCCAGATGAGAAGCTGTTGCAGGCCACTGAGTGATTTTTAATTCGAGAAGAGCCAGCGGAAGTGCTCTACCCTGGAAAACTCCAAGGGTGAACAAACATTTACCTACTGCCTGCTTGCTGTCCAAGGGTCTGGAATGGGATATTGCTCCTCCTGGAGATGCAGAGATGGATGCAGGTCTGCAGGATAGCAAGAGCCACAATAGTCTTCTCATTTTCCCATGCGAGACTTCCATTAAACACTATAAAAGGCCCCACTTCTTTCAGGTAAGACCCTTCCTAAAAGGCTCTCGCTTGCTGTTCCCCCTGTTATTTTTTCCATACTTGGACTTCATTATGCAAAGGACATTTCTGAGCTGTGAAGGAAATGGTTCCAAGCCATGGTCTACTGCTGGGAAACAAAGAATTAAAAAGTATTTTCCATGGCTCCACTTGAATGCATCCAGCTCAGTGTTCAGTAGCTCCAGCTTTATAGGATGGATTGCTGAAGTCCCTCTCTGAGATCACCAGGCTGTGGGAAGGAGCTCCATCAGACTTGTGATTTCTCTCTCCCTAGCCAGTAAGGTATCAGTGTTACTTTTTGCACCCTAGGAGAGCGACTCTAATTAGGCTTATTAAAGCTAGTTCTCTATTAATTGTATGACCGTGATCCTACAAACACCTCTGCGTGTGTAGGAGTGCTATTTGTGTTAAGAATTCCCTGCTGGAGTGGTTGAATCCATGCTGAAAGCTGAGCGTGTTCATGGGGCTGTTGAGAGCAAAGTCTGCATTGGGACAGTTGCAGTGATTTGGTGTAAGAGAGAACTTTGTGAGCAGTGATGCTGCGCTGTCTAGAGATGGAAATAACAACCAGTCATTTTCTCAAGTGAAAGCGCAATGTCAAGATGTTTGTGGTTTGTTTTTTTTTTTTTTTTTTTCCTTTTGAGGAAAAGATAAGTTTTATTCACTTTTATACCTTGTTACTATGGCTGAACACCACTGCTGTCCTCAGAGCTCCTGAGCAAGCACTGGGGGGATCAGCTCATCTCTAGATAACAGCAATAGTATGAGAGCTGATGGCCTTCAGTTGTGCCAGGAGAGGTTCAGGTTGGATATTAGGAAAAAATTATTCTCAGAAAGAGTGGTGATGCACTGACACAGGCTGCCCAGGGAGGGCTCAAAGCAGTGCCAAGCCTGCATGCATCCACTTGACCTATAAGTAACACTGGCCTTGCACCCTCCAAATCTGATGCGCCATCTCAGCTCAAGATCAGTGTCCCCTGGGGACAGACAGTGTCTTGTCTCACAGCCTGCTCTCAGTGAGAGCATTTTTCTTCATGTGACTTCTGAGCCTTCTGCTTGCCAGATCCATGACACCGGGCTGTGATCTCCAGGGAAGGCCCCGGGTTCATTCCTTTGTCCTGTGACTAATTAGAGCCTTCAGGAAGGAGTTGTGCACCATGGACACAAGTGTGTGTTGCAGGTTCCACTCACTGCAGCATGTCCCATTGAGGATTTCCCAAGCTTCATTGCTGCCATGACTCACTGTGTATTTTCTCCTCTGGGCTAGGGTTCATTAATTCCGGAATTAAACTTATTGCTTCTTTAGACAGGAGCTGTGTCAGAGCATCCTCATGAGCTCCTTAACAGTTCTCCATGTTGGTGATTCTGATCTGTTCAAAAGCCTGGTTTTGAACTCGTTGGAGCTGATGGAAAGAGTTCTATTGACTTGCTGGGAAAAGCTTACTTTGAGCCCTTCATGAGGATGAAGGCACCATCTGAAGAATCCCTTAAAGAACTTCCTCCTTCTCGCTGCCTTCCCAGGAGCTGAAGAAGTGGCAGCCTGTCTGGGCAGCAGAGCCCATGGGTCAGGGAATGTCCCACCATGGATCTGACCAGCGGCCGCAATCGCAAGCACAGCGCTGCCGTTTGCAGCAGAGATCCCTAATGAGCTGGGAGCACTGGAATTTTTCCAGCGTGTAGCCCCTGTTGGCTGCCCTCCCATTTGGTCATGCTAAACGACGAGGTAAATAGGCCTTTCATGAAATCTAACACCCGCCCTACCTAATCCCCCTTGCCTTCAAACTGTGGGGCTAATCAGTTGTTTTGACATAACCGGGATCCAAATTCTATAAGGAACATGGCCAAGAAAAGTTCAAATCCAAGACCAAAATTAATGAGAACTTCAAAGAAATTCACCACCAAATGTTACTAATTTAGTACACCCTGTGTTTGAAACCAATGACCTAATTGGAAACTATATTCTTTAAAAGCCATTATGTCCCAGCTCCTTAGTATTCGGGAGGTGGCTTCTGAGATCAGAGTAGGTTTATGTCACTTGGTAGGACAGCGTAGAGGCTTTCCACTCCCACCTCCCTAAAGCACGGATGAAATATCCTGCTGTTGACTGCGTTAGGTGATTGTGCTCTTAATGCACAATAAATAACAGGTTCTGAATCAGACAAACAATTTCCTTCTGCTCTCTAAGAAGTGAGTATAATATTACAAATCCTTTAAAGCCGGTTGAAGCAATGAAAGGTCTGATTAACTTTGCTGTCACGTTGCCAAAAAAACAGCACATTAAAAAAAAATGTACTTAGCATAAAAATGTACATTGTTGTACAGGGCTGCCAATGGTGCATCTGTCTTCCCGGAATTTCACCGAGGTCTGCAACAAGTGCGTGTGCAGGAGCTGATCCTGCATTACTTGACTGTGGTTTTGGGTCAGCAAGGGAAGAAAATCAGGGTTTTAGGTCTGGAAGTTCTCCAGGTAAGCCAGAACTCATCACCTCTGTACCTGGGTGTCTGACTGTGTGAAATCAGGGCTTCCCACGGGGGTAGGAAGGTAAAATCTGATCTTTGGTGCATCTCCCTGATCCTTTGTTTATCTTCTCCATCCCTCATTTCTAGGAAGTAGTGATAAGAAAACAAAGTTGATCTGTCAGACTGTAAATTCTCTTTAAATGAACTGAGCTTATTTAAGGTAATGAAGATTTTTTTTTTTTCTTGCTGTTGAGGAAGTCAGTGTCTATGAGGCATCAACTCAAAAACACTTGCTTGATTTTTTCTGGGCAAAATAACATCCCTAGAAGGATGTGTAAGGAAAATTTTGGTCCATACTTGAATAATTAACCATGAACTTAGTGATTTGGGATGTACAGGAGCCCATTTCAGATGCTGAATTGTATCTGGGACACCACATTTCCAAACACAGCCATCTCCCACATAGTTCTAGCTCTAGTGCTACTGTGGAAAACAGACCATGGAAGAAATGCAGCTCTTTGATAGGGGCCCAGTGATCTGTCCTGCCTTCTTCTGAGGATTTTCCAGTAGTTTGGAAGCAGTTGTTAATTTCTAAAGGAGGTTACATGGTGTCTCAGACTGATAACTGATGTTCTGCTTCCCTAAGTCAGAGTGGATTTCCCCCTTTCTGGCTGATGTAAATGCAAAGAGCAGTTATCAGTTCAAAAATAAATAAAGGAATGATGAAAAGAAAAGAGGGCTTGACAGGACTGGGGCAATTTGGTTACATTTAGCCTGTAAGAAAGATTCCTTGTTTTCATGCTGGTGAAATTTTGCCAATAACTGCTTGGTTAACATCAAGGAAGGTTTTTCTTGGGTCATATTCAGAAAAGTTTAAAATGAAAAAAGAAAACCCAATGGGCTCCTTTGTTGGGGAAGGAGCTGGCTCTGCCTGGTGCTGGGTGACCTTATGTAGGTTGGGTATTCAGCACGGTGGCGGATCCTTAGGTGTGAGCACAGTGAGCTGCACTGCACCATTTCCATGGAGGGCATGGTGGTGTGTCCCAGTGGAACCCAATTCATCTGTTAGGCAGCCACTGACTTGCTCCTAATGGCAGTCCTTCCCTGCTGCAGTGCAGGGAGCATCCCTGTTAGTGTGCTTGAAGCACGCTGTAACTCTGCTGCATGTGTTGAAGTGGGTCCTGGGGAGGGCTGGATATTTAAGTGATTTCTTCTTTGGGGCTTACAAGCCTTATGGGGTCTGTGCCACCTTCGGAGCTGGGCAGGGCTTGAAAAGCTTAAGTGCAGAGGAGACTGCATTTCCCAGAAAAGGGGAATTTGTATTTTATAAATCCCGCAGTACCCATTTTGCTCGCATCCATTTTATGATTGTAATTACTTAGGTTACTTTTATTTTAGAAGAAGGAAAACAATAATGAAAGGAAAACTAAATAAAATAGTGCAGAGAAAGAAGGAAAACAGTTTCTATTCCAATTTTTAACCCTTCAGCAATAGGAAGAAGTGGATCTCTCAAGGTGGAGGAACACACCCAACTGCCACAGTTTCAATCTGCTCTTTTCAGCGCTGCATTCATTCATTTCTGCCTTAGGAAAAGGCAAAGCTCCTGTGTCTTCCTTGTGCTTCAATGAGCTGTGGCTCTCTGGGGGCCTGCAACAAAATTGGGCATATTGTATGTTACATATTATATGTGATACAGAGTATGTATTGTGTGTTATACATATATATATGTGCATGGCATTATGAAATGCTCAACACATAACTGCATATCTCACAGAACATAGCAGGTTTATGCTGCTGCTGGCCCTTTTGGCAGGGATGTGTTCCTGATGCACAGAACCACATTGTCAGTACTGATCAGAATGGAGCACTTTGTTAGTCTGCCCCATAACAAATATGTGCCCACATTCCTTTTATTCCATTTAGATTTTTGATGTGACTATTTTTTTCTATATATGAAATAGACTGAAACAAGTACCCAGATGCTATGACCCAACAGAGCTCCCTGATGGGCTCTTGTCTATGAGCAAGGGGTTTCTGCCTCAAGCCATTAATGTTACGTGCTTGGATTCATCATTCTGACGGTGTTGGGCTGAGGTCCTGCCCACATTTCAGCACGGAGTCTATCCCCAAGTTTTGGCAAGGTGAGGAAGTTGGACTGGATGATCCTTCTGGGTTCCTTCCAACTCGGGATGTTCTATGGTTGCTCCTTCTCAGTGATTGTGGTGTATATGTACAGTTACAGTGGATGAGTTGAGAAAGGCATCTCTGGTGCTTGCACCTTGCTCCAGCGAGACAAAGAGATTGTAATCCTAAAATAAGATACATCTCAAAGCATGGAATTGTCACTGCTGGAGATGCTGCACTTTCATAGACGCTGCTCACTGTGTTCCCAGTTCCATTGCAATGCTGGAAGCTGCCATATGTAAAACCCCCCAAAAATCATTCCTTCCAAGGATCTCCCATCAATCAATCTGCACCTTTGTGATGCCCGCACGTCAGAGCATCAGCATTGACTGCATTGGGTTTGTTGAATTTTATTGACCCTTTCTGGGTATTTCACCCCAAAAACGATGCCATGTCCATTCCTGGGTCCTTCGTGAGCCATAAGGAGCAGGTGCCACGTGCTCTACACCCACCCCAAATTGCATGGCAAGCTCCTAGGAAGGCAAGCAGATGTACTGGGCTCTGAGCAGGGGCAATCAGGAAGGGAATTAAAATTATGATATGTTGCTATGGTAATCAAGTCCCAGGATTTGTCTAGGAGGAGAAGCGAGGTTGCAGCAAGTTGCTCATGAATTCCTCAGTAGGCTTTTCGATACTCTGTTTCCTTTAAATGAAATTGGAGAAAGACTTGCAGTTCATAGCGGGGATAAAAATTTTATGAACCTAAATCTAGGCAGTGTTTTAGTGTCAGTCAGCATTAACCCACAGCATGATCACATAAATAATTGAGATCTCAAATACCCCAGAGCTCGGGGTTGGAACCCTGGCAGCACTGAAGGCTCTATGGGCAGCACAGTACTTGGGAGCACGCTGCCAATCAATGTGAGCATCCTGAAAGTGCACCACCCCTGCCCTGAGACCTGAAATATGGGAGCAGAAGAATGAATGCAGTTAATAAAAAGTCATGGAAACGTAGCAGAGACCAAACACCTGTGAGAAACCCCAGAGGAAAGGATTGCAGAGCTCTGCTTGGTTGTGAGGATGGCAGCTGATTTTAAAAATGGAGATTAAAAAAAATAATCATTTTCTTTGGGTTCTTTTTGTCCAACCCATCTCTTAGTTCCCCTCCTACAACAAGATTAGACAGAGCTGACTGAAAATTAATTGAACATAATGATGAAATTATTGACGTTTTGAGCAAGAATAACACTAAGAAAGGAATCTGGTCCCAAGCTGTCCCCAGTTGTGACTTCAATCCTTTCTGCTTTTCTCTTCCCATCCCTTCTCTACTGCCTTATTCTTCCTTTTTCAGAGGCAAATGGGGAAGCCAAAGGGGCAGAACAAACAGTGGGCTGCAGGGAAAAACGAGAGCCAGGGGAGGAGAAAGGGAATGAACAAAGTACAGAGAAGTGACGGCTTTGAGGGCTTCCAAGGACCATTGTCAGGAAGAAAATAAAGAAGTTTTCTTGTGGCAGTGAGCTGTTCTATGTTGAAAAAGACGTGGGGATGAAAAATGCAGACTGGAGGGGAAGGAAGGCCATGAGGACACTTCTTTCTTCTGACAGACTGCTGTCTGGAAGGGGATGGAGGACGGGGATAAGAGCATCCGCAGCTTGGAGGCTGCTCAGGGCTGTGTCTGAATAGCAGCCTTTGGAGGCCCTGCAGAGCCTGGTGATGGACCAGAGCTTCTAACAGGGAATGGGGCTTGGGGTAGAAATATTTCATTGTGGAATAAATCTTCATTTCACTCGGTACCTCCAGAACCGTGGAGGTCAGAAGCACTGGGGTTGGTAGGAATAATTACTATTTTTATTATTTTTAAGCTGGGAACCTAGCCTGGATTTTTCTACCCTAAGGAAGACACAAAACCTCCTGAACCTCCAACCTTGGAGCCTTCCCCCTGCCCCAGCCTGGCTCACAACGCTGCTGCTGTATGCCCATGAGGTAAGCAACGCTGCTTGGCAGCTGGCTGCACACACCCAGGGAAAATAAACACACAGAATTACTGCTGGCTCCTTCTGCCTGGTGCTACACTTGGGCTGGCTCCACCGTGGCACGTGAATAAAGCACAAGGCTGGCTGCTGCCGGGTCGGTGGGTTGATTTCAGGTCTTTATTTTTTTGCAGGCTATGAGAAAGCAGGAGTTCTAAAGGAAAGAGGTTTTTTTCTCCCTTCTGAACCAGGCTCATGTGATTTCTCACTCAGTTCAGGCAGCATTGGGCTGTGCAGTGCAGAGGGGCCAGGGCACTTAGAGCAGTTCTGCTCTCTGGTCAGAAATGGAGCATCACTATGGGCTGTCCCTGGTGGGAATGTGTTGTGTCAGATGTTGGCCTTCTGTAGATTTCCAAAGAGAAAAACTGGACTATTAAGTATCTATAAACATACATAGGTGGGATTGTTCAGTCTGGAGAAGAGGAGGATCAGAGGAAATCTTATTGCTCTCTACAGCTCCTTGATAGGAAGTGGTGCTGAGGTGAGGGTTGGCCTCTTCTCCGAGGTAACAGCAATAGGACGAGAGGTGAAGGCCTTAAATTGTGCCAGGGGAGGCTCAGGTTGGATATGAGGAAATGTTTCTTCTCAGAAAGAGTGGTGATGCAGTGGCACAGCTGCCCAGGGAGGTGTGCAGCCACCGTCCTTGGAGGTGTTCAAGAGCTGCCAATATACAGCATGAGGGATGCGGTCAGTGGGTGCGGAGGGCGTGGGTCTGTGGTTGGATTGGATGATCTTAGAGGTCTTTTCCAACCTTAATGATTCTATGATTTTATGTAATAAAGAATAATTGAATTACTCTCATCAACCCGTCTGCGTTTTAAATATTTCTTGATAGCTGCTTAGAAACAGTTTCCACCTTCATTGGAAATGGGAACAGTTGTCAGAGTAGATTGTGATAATGCAAATTTGCAAAGAGCTGATCCTAAATAGAGATATCTTGAAGAAAGTTTCCATTTAAAAGCCTGCACCTCAGATGTTTGCTGATTCAAAGGCAGTGCTCACAAATCTCTGGTAGCACGTTCAAGAATGGCTGTTAATATCTCCAGGCTGACTCATGTCTCATGCTGGAGTCCATGGTGCAGAATGTAAATAAAATAGTGAGAAATTAAACGTGAACAGGAACACAGTGTTATTTAAGAACAATTCTAAATTAGACAAAAGTTTCCCCAGAACTCTTAATGACCTTTGCTAACAAAGGCTCCCATTTAGGTGTGCTTTTTCTAATTCTTTTTTTTTTTCTTTTTTTTCAAAAGACTAAAAATAAACTACTGAAGCCCAAGAGGCTGCAATGTGCCACTTCAGCCAAATCAACTGAAAAAATCCAGCTTAAAAACAAACTGTATTTTACTGACATAATTAAAACTTCCAAAAGGAAACATGAACTTCTGCTTCTTCAGAAACAGCAAGGGGAGGGAAGACCCCCCACTTACTGAACGCTTACTTCTAGCAAAAGCTCTCTAAAACAAATTCTCATTTCCCACTGGAATCATCCAGTTCTCCTATCAGCTGAGAAACATTGTGTTTTGGCATTAAAAATGACTGCTAAAAGTTCTTAACCAGAAGCAGAAGGCCAGCTGGGTAAAGGGAAATCTTATGGGATGTGTGTTGCTTCCCACCTGCACCCGTTTCAGGTATCAGAAGGCATCTGAGCAGGGATGGTCAGTCCACCATGCCAGGCTTAATGAGGCAGATCATTGCAAAATGACACGTCTCTGTGAGGTGCTGACTCTTTATTATAGCATCCTCTGAGGTATTTGCTTTAGTCAGTGCTTGGATGGTCACATCAGGTCTCTTAGCTCTCTTCTGTGAATTAAAGTGGAATTCAGCATTAATGAAGGTCTAATTTTATGGTGTTATTGTTAAGAGGAAGTAATACAAGCCGGGGAATACTGGCAAGGAAATAAACTTTTGAGGTCCATGCCAGTAGTTAGCTCTCTGAACTAGCTCTGGTAAATGAGTAGATCAAACAGAACTTTGACTTGCAACTCAAAAAAAAGCCACCACCCATTTTGCAGTCTTTCCATTAAGTTTTTCCCCCAATGTTTTTTAATTATGTCTGTTCTTCCCATTCCTCTAACTGGCTTCAGGGGAAGGACCACGATTCCTCCCAGTGCCATCTCTGCCAGCCAGACCTGGGAAGCACCAGAGACTTCAAAAGACCAAGGGTTGCTGGGACCCAGGTTCTGCTGCCTTTCTTGGCTGTGCTCAAGGGGATTCCTACATTTGGCAGCTAGATTTTGCAAAGGAGTAGTGAATCTTTCGGCTTTTGTTTGGACAGGTAACTGGATTTCAAAGTGGTGTAAGCCTTTATCAATGATTGACATCAATCCAGACCAGTGTAATCTTTATGGAGACCACTGGACTGTCCATGCATGTTTATGAGCTAAATCACTGCTGGTGATTGTAGCCACAGTGCTTAGCTCAGATGTGCTGAGCGCTGTGTGTTGAGATGTAGAATTAAGAAGCCAAGGCTACTTTTCATAGAATCATAGAACGGTTAAGGTTGGAAGGAACCTTAAAGGCCATTTTGCTCCAACCCCCTGCCATAGGTAGGGTGTCAGCTGCCAGCTCAGACTACCCAGGGCCCCATCCAACCTGACCTTGAACACCTGCAGGGATGGGACACTCACACTTCCCTGGGCAGCAGTGCCAGGGCTCACTGCCCTCTGACTGTAAAGGTTATTTTGTGTTGCACTTATCTTAAGAACTTTAAGGGCAAAACAACTTCCCAACTTGTGATGGATGGCCTTATAGCTAAGCCTGGAATGCATCCTTTCCTGTTGTCCCTATGCCATCCCATTGCTGCCCTGAGCAAACTCTGTGATGTGGGACAACTGTCAGCTGGCTCCAGAAAGGGATAGTGTGAGGGTGGCTACATCCACCCTCCTACATGCTCTTTGGCCGGAAGCGAGAGGGTTTGAGCCAATAACTAAAAATACAGCTCATAGCCTTGGATAAAGGCAGGTTTGTCAGCAGTAGCTTCTCTGCTGGAGTCCTTGCATCAATGCTAGCACAAAGTTGCGTGTGTTGTGGGGAAGGGTTGGTGCCCTGCTGTTTCTTTCTCTTTCTGCCAAGGTGCTTTTGTCTCACAAAGCCACAGCTGGCTGCAGCTGGAGCTGCCTGGGCTCTTCTCCCAGCCAGATCCCTGTCTCCCTGGGGGCACTTCCATAGGATAAAAAGGAAAAACTTCTCACAGCAGTCCCTGTGAACTCATCCTAGTGGATGGCTGAATGGCACAAGGCAGTAGGACACAGCCCACTGGAGGGGAGCCAGCTCAAGTGGACACACTGGGCAGCTGGTGGTGACTTACTGGGTCTGGCAGTGCTGTGTGGAGGCTGCCAGCACTAAAGCTGAGCTGTTGCGAGCAACCAGCTCTGATTCAGAATAGGTTTGGTCAGTGTTCTTTACAAATCCTTCGCCCTGTGCTCAGTCTCTTCACTTTCCCTCCAAGACTGTCCTTGATGTAAGAGGAGCTGGCAAGGTGAATCCAGGCATTACATCATGGACATCCTGTTGCTTCAGACATTTGTGTGTGTTTGACTTGGCTAATGTTTCTTTCTCAAGATCGATGAGTGCCTGTTCTGTTTGCCTTTCTCTGAAGATAAAATAACCTCCCTCCTGGGATTGGATTCCAGGTCTGGGCTGCCCAGCTGTGACAAAGGACAGGTGTGGGGCTATGGGCAAGACAAGGCTGCCTTACAGGAGATGCTTTGAGATGAGCACCTCCATGAATGTCCCTATTAACCAGGGCTGCTCTTATTCACACTGTACTGCAGGCATCTGGGGAAAAAATGTGAAAGGATGGAAGTGGAAGACATCAGCCCCTATGAAGAGCGTGGAGCAGAGAGCAACAGTGTGAGAAAGGGGGAAAAAAGATGAAATATTCCACAAGTTGAGCTAAAGATGGTCACTTTGATGATGCAGAATGTGTCATTAACAATGTTTAGAAAGATTGTATTTCTAATCTTGGTTGTGCACTTGTTACTCTCAGCAATCTTATTTCTCACTCTTGGTTGGGTCTGGTCCCAGGCACATTGGAAGGATCCTCCCATGACCCCCACAGCTCTGCCCTGTCCCTGGAAGAGCTGAACACAAACAACCCCTGGGGCTGTGAAAAACAGCAGAGTTACAGCAAAAGACAACTGTGAGCTGGAGTGCCCCATCCATCAGTAATTCAAGCTCTCTTTAAACACTGGTAATGGCTCTGGATGGCTGCAGTAGCTGCAGTAACTGCAGTAACAGCCAGGGCTCAGTTGTTTACAGGAAAGACTGTGTCTAAGGAGAGGTGTTGGTTTCCAAAAGGAAGTTTAGGGGGCACAGCCAAGGTGGGTCATGGGCTGTAGGAGGGGTCAGTGGCTTGAGTGAACCATGAGCTCCACTGATCATCTGGGGTACAGTCATGGTTAAAATATCATTATAGGTCATTAACTATGGTAATGCGAAGGGTTGGGGATGAATCCAGAGCCTGATCTAGGACCAACTCTCATGGTTTCATGGGATGAAACACTCATTGTGCTCTAAAATTAAGCTTCATTACCTGTGTTACAGCTGGCGGTCCTGCAACAAGGGACCGCACAAATCCCACCTGGAAAGCCACTGCGATAGAGCTGTGACTTATTTTTGTCATGTGCTGCCACTTATTTTATATATGCATCCGTATTTGCTGTGGTGTATCTAACACCAGCAGCTCTATGAAGACAAAGGTTTCAAAAAAAAAGAAACACCAGACCCCAAACCTACAAATTTCTGTGACCAGTTATGCTGGGGGGAGGCAGAGAAAGGAGAGAGAAACTGCAGACCTTAACCTGGGTTAACTAAACACACTCTTAAACTCTGCTTCAACATAAGACTTCTAACATTACCTGCTTGGCATGTCATAGCCACTGATGAGAGCCACCACACGGCGCAGTTAATCACAGAGCCAGCTGCCATAGGATACAGTGGGGCATAAAG